GGAGTAACTATGACAGGAAATATTAAATCTAAAATACTCCATTCTGATGCTTTAAAATATTGTAAACATTGTCCTAACACAATTCCATCTATTAGCCATATATTGTTATGATGTAATGAAGAAGAATCAAATATTAAAACATGATTATGTATGTAATCAATTATATAAACATATATTATTTACTCATTTTATTGAATTTGATGAAATAGATTTTAATACACCTCATAAGTGTATTAATAATAATGAAATAGTTATAACTTACAATAAAGATTTATTGGTTAGTGACCATTCGTTTAATGTTAGAAGACCAGATATATATTATCAAATCATCAAAGAAAAAAAAGGATATATTATCGATGTCGCCATATGTCAAGATAGAAATATAAAATTAAATTATATTTATAAAATAAATACAAATAACTACAAGAGAAATTAATACAAAGTAGAGAATTAACTTATGTAAAAATAATACCTGTAATATTAACAATCAATTGATACATAAAGAAACAGTAAGAAGATTAAAAACACTAAAATTACAAATTGACTTCCCCAAAATACTACGAACAAACATTATTAAAAACATGAAATACTTAATGTTCTACACATTCAACACTGGCAACACATTAGAAGAGGAACCTTCTAATTCTCATATGTTAGAAGTGAACTCTATTGTAGAAATAGAGCGTATTGAAGAAACTGAAACAATCACTTCTCAATAATCATAATATCAAATTGTTGAAATATCTATTATTTCTTATTTTTTTTTATTTGTTTATTATTATTTATTATTTTTTGTTTGTTTATTTAATTTTGACCTTAACATTCCACAGAAATCCCACATATTTAAATAAAAATAATAATTAAATGAAACAAAAGAGATTTAAAAAGAATAATCAATATTATAGAGAAATAACAAATATCAAAGAAGATTTAATACAAATTAGATATTCAAGATATGATCAATTTGAAAATAGACAATGGTATAATGATAGAAACAATAAATATTATCACTAAAACTACAATTATCATAATAGAAGATACAAACAATATCATTAGAAGAACAATAACAATCAAAACAGAAAATACAGAGGTAAAAGATACTAAAGAAAGAGAAAAGAAAATAATAATAAAAGAAAGGATGAAAAGAATTAAAGATATTGAAAAGTTATTAATAAGAATAAAAAAGAAAATTGGAAATGAAGATGAAGAGAAAGAAATACTAATTGAAAATGAAGAAAAGAGAGAAGAAATAATACAAGAAGAAGTTAAAGAAACAGATGAAGAAGAATAAAAGAAATAATAAGAAAGAGCATCAAAATAAAGAGTAGAAATAAATAATAAAAATTAGAAAGAAGAGAA